ATGCATGCATTTTCCTTTTGTTACTGTCAGATTTACTTTATATATATTTAGACTATGTTAATAAGAGCATACAGATTTAAGATAATTTGTATCTTCTTCATTAGTGAAATGTCCCAGTTATCTCTATTAGTGCTTCTGAGAATCTAACTTGTCTTATTACTGCTACAGCAGATTTCTTTTGGTTAGTGTTGATAGCATATGTCTTTTTCTTCATTTCTACATTCATTTATTCTGAATACTAGCAGCAGGTGTATCTCTTGAAAACTTCTGATAATTTTACTCAAATAAGCTATCTTTGACTTTTGAGTCTTTAGTACATTTACATTTAATGTAATTATTTATTTATTTTGGTGAAAATCTGTATTTCTATTTTTCCTTTTTCTTTTTTTGTTTTTCCCTTTCCTTTTTTGTGTTTTGGATTAATCAAGTTTTAAAATTATTCTGTCTTTCCCTCTCACCCCCATTAACTTATTAGTAATTCATTCTTTTACAAGAGTGTGTCAACTAAATGTTAGGCCTTGTTTCACTTTGTAATTTACAAAATGGATCAGCATATTCAAATCTCTAGATACATTCCAATAAAAAAACCTATTTAGCATTATTTAATACAGTGCTTTTCAAACTTCTTTGACAATGAAACACTCTGGGGAAATAGGGGCTCCCAGAACACGCACTGTCCTTGGAGATACACCCATTTCAAGGCTTATTCAAGCTGCATGACCTTTATGTTATTTCTATGTAGTTATTTCTTATAAATTTTGATAAGATTTGTAGAGAGTTGGGAAGTATGTAATAGGTCAACAACCAGCACAGTAGTTTCTTATTGCTGCCCAGAGTTTGAGAATTAGTCTAAGAAAATTAGTATTAGTTTTGTTTAAGGAGGCTTCCCGAGAACATGCCCCTGAGGAAATGATAGCTCACCTGTAGCAAAAGGACCTGTAGGAAGGGTATATATTTATATGTTACATATATCTTCTCAGAAAATGGTCTATGCTCATTGCAATCCTTGGATGAGTGAGCTGGTATTTCCAGTCTCCCACTATGGCCATTAAATTTAGAGGATATGCGATTTTAAATACTGTAAATTCCTGGTGAGTTATTCGCAGTTACAAAACTTACCTTTAAGAAGTTAAAACATACTCTGAGGCTCTGAAGTTGTTAGCCATAAGCCGATTAAGTATTGGAATCCATCTGCTGTTATCTGAATAGTTACCATTACTCCGTTCTTCCTGACAATAATTAAATAGCATACATCTGCTCATCTAGAAGAGAGATCAACTCATTAAGATAGAGGTTAAAAAGAAAAGTGGGGAAAAGTTATATCACCCTTCCCAAGAGGATTTACATTTGAAATTGGATGATGAGAAGAGGTTAACACTTGGCCCAAAGAAAAATATCTCTAATGGAAAAGTTTCAGATATTGTTATGCTTAATTAAACAATCTTCCTGTTCTCCTATCTTATAGGTAGGGTAGAAAGAAAAGGGAGCATGATGGTAAATGATTAGAAAACAAGGTCTGACATTATAAAGAAAAATATGATCGCTTCCATTGGAATTAAATTTAAGTTAATTTTCATGCATTGTAAAACAAATGCAATTCTGAGACTTGAAAATTCTAATAATCTCCTTTCTTTCCTTTTACAGGTGTATCCTCTTTAAGTGTTCAATTTGCCAAACTCCCAAAAGGATTAAAGTATTTAAATTTATCTAAAACCTCATTATCACCTAAAGGTATAGTATTTCTTATTCACTTAACATTGTGTCTATAATATTTTCACTGCACCTATACTACCTTAAATAGTTAGAATTATTATTTTGATCTATACCTGCATTTATTTATTTATTTTCCATTTACTAATCTCATTTTTTTTAAAATTTCATTTTAATAGATTTAGGGAGATAAAAGTTGAATTCTGTTACATGTATGTATTGTGTGGTGGTGGAGTCTGGGCTTTTGGTGAACTCATCAC